AGAATTGGCTGGCCCTGGGATGGGCAGCCTCTCCCCAGGGCTCAAAAGCCCCCCATGTCAGAGCATCAAGAATACAGAAAACAAGAACATAGTTCACGTAGTTGGCCCTGTGGTGTATGGATGCCACACAGACAAATCCAGAGTCTAAGACAACGCAGTGAGAACAGTGGCCTCGTAACAGATGGGTCGAGGTTGCTGACTGCCTGACTTCTACGTGCCTGTCAGATCACTGTGAGCTCATTAGCACCCTTGGCTCTAACTCTGTAGTGCTGGGAGCTTTATGACAGTGGGATCCTCACTTCTCCTTTCTGCTAGAAAGAGGTGTCTCTGTCATCAGTGGAGGGTGTTTCCTGTGTTCTTGTTCAGGAATGCCCTTCAAGGCAGATGAAGCCTCATTTTACCAAGGGAAAATAAGCAAATTACGGGCCTCTGAGAACTGGGGATAAGGGAAGCCATGTTGGTGGGGAATGTGTTTCCCCCTCAATTTCTGGTGTGCATGTATATATTTCAGTAAGTGGCTAAATGTCCACCACATTGTCATTTTATGAGCAAGCTAAGTTATTCAGGTGCATCTTACCACTTTTATTTACTGTACAAGTAGTAAAGTGCTATGACAGAAACGTTAGAAAATTCAGATCAGTAAAAATAAAAGTCGCCCTCATAATCCTGCTATCTGGATATATCCTCTGTTTTTAAAGTATTAAATTCTTCAAGATGTGACTTTGCTTTCATAATTTTTTGCCAAAACATTTTCCCCCATAGCTTCCAGAAATTTTGAAATTCTCAGTTGCGAAATTCCTCCAAATTGTGAAATTCATTAATGAAAATGTGCAAATAAGATTTCATTTTGCATCAATCTATTCCAAATAATTGCCTTCTGTTACGGTGGAATTCACGTAATCACAGAGAAATTTGTCAATTCCTTAGTCTCTAATGACCCTCGGGAGGTGATCTGAGGTTGGGCTTTAGACAGAATGTAATAGCCCAGGACGATACTCTGGCCACCTTCTCGCCGTGTTAGCCTGGAGAACTTGGAGTGTTGGTGTGGCCCTCCTGTTAGGGGTGGAAGGATTGGAAATCTGGACACTACTATTGCATTTGCTTTGTGTTCCCTTCTGCCTTCTTCGGGATGCTGGGTTAGGATGTTTGTAGTTTAGTAGGTGGAGAGCCGGATAATTGGTGTAAATCATGATCTGGGAAGTCTGGTCCCTGAACAGCTGTTGGTCAGCTGCAGCGCTGATAACTCAGCAGACAGTTAACTTCCATCTGAGAATCAGAAATTGTGTCAGAAACGGCAGGGCTATCACATAGATCTGGGTTTCCAGCGTTGCCTCACCATCTAACCGCTGTGTGAGTGCTGGCCAGTTAGAAAGCACCTGAGCTTAGGTTTCCTCAGCTGTAAAATGCTGCTCACCTGTGCACCTGGTAGGATTGCTGTGAGAAGGGAGCCGAACAAGACGATGTAGGTGACGAGCCCATCCTCATGCCTGGCTCTTAGTAATCGTGCAGTAAGATGCTGTCTTCCCGCCCTCCCTTGGTAGGTTTTATTTTTATAAGCATAGGATAGATTGGAGCATGTTATTGTCAGGCATGAGTCTGTTCTAAGCTCGCCTTACAAAAGGTCTCCGGAATCTACTCATTGAGGCCCCTTTTACTCTTTCACATAATACGCTGGTCCATCACAAGTTGGGCTAAGTCTACTGTAGGGAAATAGCACTGAACCCCCTAGTCTGTAAGAAAGGAGGATACCGGTGAGGAAGGTTGTTTTCAGACCTGCCAAAATTAGGGATGCAGCCCCTATCTGTCAGGGCAATACCAGGATTCCTTTATTCCCAGGAAGACAAATGGTAGGAGGCCAGAGGGCAGCACAAAGGCCAGTGGCTATCACATGCACTTTTATCCTCAGTGCTTTTAGCTTCTTCAGTTATCCCAAGGGTCCTGAGACCCCTGAGGCCCCTGAGCGGATGTGTTCCCTTGGAATTGGGGTGCACACAGCCAAGGGGGCACCCTGGCCCTGCAGCCTTCACTCGGGGCTGACTGTCCCCAAGGCGGAGGTCCTGGGCTCTTGGCAAAATTTAATTACAGCCTCTGCCTATGGCTGGACCTCAGCTGGCAGGGTCTTGGGGGTTTTAAACAAAAGCATGAGCCTCTCCAGAAGTAGATTAGGGAGATGTCCATTCAAGCAGGGGATTTGTGCATGTTAATTCTCAGAGCAGATATCTGACAGCAAAAGGACCATGTGACCTTATTTAGAAAAAAGGCTGCACTTTGTTAACCTTTATTCCCTCAAGAAAGAAAAATCATTACATGGCAGAGGCTCAGGCCCCATGGGAGGTTTTCTGGATGATTCTCCACTTTGAGAGTCATGCTTCCACAGATAGGATAAAATTATCAGAAATTTCTGACTGTCCCCACTGCATATTCTTTTTTTGTTGGGAAAAAGAAATCCATATTTCTTGCATATCCTAGGCTTTTTGTCCCTTCCTTCCCAGTCCTAGCAGAGTAAGGGGTTAAAAAAAATTTTTTAAAGGAAGGAAAGGAAAAAGGCATTGATTTGAAAAAACATTGCCCTGTCTCCTACTTGCTCCCCACTGCCCCACCCTCAACATGCTTATTCAATATCGGTAAGTGGTGAAAAGATTCTAAGCGGATTCACTCAAAGACAGATGCGGCCCCCGACAGGCAGCTAGGCTCCTCCTTTGAGCCTTCCTGAAATGCTGCCCACCCCTCACGCCTGCCCTGGTCACCCCACCCCCAGCTGAGCCCTCCCTCCTCCCTGTTCCCGTAAGACTGTTCACATCTATTTCCAAGAAAGCAGCATGGAATAAAGGAGAGCGCACGACGTGGAATTGGAAGACTTCAGTCCAAAAGCAGGCTTCACCACCTCCTAGCTGCAACTCGGAGCTTCTGAGCCTGTAGCTCCTTCACTGCACTTGCAATTATACTGTGTGTTGCCGGCTTGTCTCCCAGCTAGACAAGGGAAGTCCTGGAGGACAGGATGTTGCTCATCCTGTTATTTCCAGTCATTTATCTAGTTACTCATTTCTTTATACAATTACCCTCTTAGGACCCAAGAATAGAGAGATGAACATGATGCCATGTGGCACGTGGTTGGAATTACAAGCTGCTGCTTCCCCTTTTCTTTTCTTTCTTTTTTTTTTTTCCTTGAGTGATGTGATGCACATATAGTTGAGGAAGCTTTGGCCCTTCCCCCCAGAGCATTCACTAGAGAGGAGCAGGACCTGGCCCTGCTTGTTTACCCTGACTGCAAAACTTCTTCCCTTTTTTTAGGTTGAATGAAAGAATCTTTAAATTCTATAGTCTTTACGATTTTCCCAAGCTTCACACACATGATTTTATATAATCCCAATATAACCCTTTTCCCCTCTACTTCTGTGTTGCCTTCCCCCCAAACACTTGTTTGTTCTCTTTACCTGTGAATCTGCTTCTTTTTTTTATTCTTTTTTTATTTTTTAGTTTGTTGTATTTTTTAGATTTCACATATAAGTGACAGCTTACAGTATTTGTCTTTCTCTGTCTGACTTATTTCACATAGCATACTGCCCTCCAAGTCCATCCATATTGCTG